GGGATGATAATAGATTTGCTGGAATAATCTCGCGCAAGACAGGAAGATAGTTGTCTCGCTTGGAAATATCCCACTGAAGGCGCACCCCGCGCCATTCTCAAATTGATTACGCAGCCATGCTCTTCCCTCCCCGGGCTGGAGCATGCTAGCTGGTTAATAATCCATGGTATGTGCCAAAGGGAAACGACTGGGTAAAGTTGGGATGAGCAGCAGCAAACTTTGCTTTTCACCTAGAGTTTGACGCCATCAAAAAATAGCAGAGATATTCGCACCCTTTTCTAGGCTGATGTGGACCACGTCAGCGCCAGGGCACCCTTTGTAAAATGCGCGTTACTGTAGTGGAGATGAGTAATTTTAAGAGGAAAAAGCTCTAGGGTAGGTGAACTAATATTGTGCGAAAAGGAAGTAGTTTTGCATTTCTTGAATGCCACTCGTTAGCGGGATTGCCCACCCCCCCCCTCCCCCATATAATATTCTTCTAGGTACTTCACCCATCCCTCTTAAGCAAGCGCGGCATCGACTGGTTGTCCCTGAGTTGTATGTTGGGGTAGCTGGGTATGGAAATATTTAAGAACTAAAGTACGGAAGTGGTAGGTTTCCCTTTATCGCGGAGCCACGCTCTTTCTCAAAGGCACACAGCACAAATACTTTTGAGAGGATTCATTTGATTGTGAAGTACAGCAGCTCCACAGCCGTAGAAGTGTGACACTGCTGCCACTCGGATGATCGTAAAGATGAAGTTGAAGGGTTGTGATAGCTAAATTTCTTTTTGTTTCCTCCCACTGTTTACGCGACGTGCTCGCCACAGATTGCGAGCACCACATTGGCGACCAAGTGCTAAAAGGCGTCTCTCATGAAAGAGCCACATAAGCAGCAGCGTTTGCAGCTGCGGTTAGGCATGATATCGGCTGTGTGGCGCGTTGCGTGTTTGTGGTCAGGTTGCGTTTCGAAAGGTAGGCGGACATATTAAAAACATTCATCTGTCGCACCCTTCAGTTTAATTCATACGCACTTTTACGGGTTGAAGCTGTTCAGTTCTACAGCTATTATCCATCTTGGCCAGGAAAAGAATCCACCCGCCGGTGACCGTGCACAAATAATTAAATAGCCTTTCTTATCAGTGATTTTCTTTATTAGCTAATAGTGATGCTACTATTGCAGCCATTTTCGAAATCATAAGATATGTCAAAATGGGATGGTAAATACGAGAAGTTACCTGGCTTATTCCAAATCATCATCCTCATGCCGAAAAATTCAAGGCTATTTACGAAATGTGCCGGTCAACATGTGATAGTTAATTCATTGTATTTATTGAACATCTATTGCATTGGCTTCGTTTCCCATTGCTTCCTATTTATGAAGGGTTTTATTGATATGTGAATTGTTGTTATTACGTTTTAGATAGTTTTAATGTGGAAAAAGAGATATTTGAACGAAATTCGATTGTTTAAAAACGGCATACGAAAAATTATGCTCTATTCTACTTTCTATGCTTGTACTTCAACAGAAATGTGCGTGAATCAATACGTATACGCTCTTCTAGATTTATATATGTGACTATAAACTGCATCCTTTCAGTACGAAATTATACAAGTATATGTACTGTTTACGAACTTGGAAATAGCTGTTTCCGTTCTTTCACAAAAACAAATCCTTGACGGAACTTTTTGTTCTTTTTTTTACAAATTATATCAATGGTGATGAAAATATCACTTTCTAGAGTGAATATGTATTTGTCTACTGTGTATCGCGTCGTTTTCGGTGTAACAGGTCATCTCAGGGTCAATCAGCCTACACAGCATCCACTTATCGATCGAATATGAGAGGTATCCTATAGCATCCACGGGTCAACTGGTGAAGAACTGACTTGACAGGGGTGGGGAATGTTTACCACCCACTGCCCTACTTTTCTGAATTAACCCAGATTCCATGCAGTGGGACTTATCTCGGGATCGACTTCACTTAAGTACTGTTTTCGAGACGGTTGGACCCCACGGATATCACTGACTTCGAATGCGTTTTGCCTGTACTAGGGGTGGCGCCGGGCCAAAAGTGTCCTGGTGCGTCTGCACCTAGTGCATGTCGCCGACGGCGCCTATAATGAATATCAGTTATTTTTGAGGCACTATTTACCCTTTACTGCTCCAATCGTTCGGAATCGAGCCAGTTTTTGACCGACTTTTTTCTCCGTGAACAGAATTGGCTCAAATGTTGTCTTTTGCGGTAGGTTGACCCCTGAATACGCATATCCTATTCTCTTGGTCTGGAACCTTGTGGCGCCGGCGCCACAGGCGTCGGTAATTTAGGGTATTTTGGCGCCGGCGCCTGTAGCTTGGGCGCCAGGAGGTTTCGGGCCGAGCGGATGTGATATTTGTGTTCAGGAGGTGGAACTACCCCAGGAGACAAATTTTTGACGACTTGCGTTCACGGAGAAAAAATCGGTCAAAAACTGGCCAGATTTCGGATGATTGGGGCAGTGAAGGGTGAATAGTGCCATATTTGACATAATTCTCCGGAAACCCTTCAGTTACAGATGAGGAGTGACGGGTAAGTATTACCGGAAGTCACTGCTTCTTTGATATTTATTATGGTGCATGAACATGCTGCGAAAATAAAACGTTTCTAATCCAAAATCCTTCGATTTTAAAGCGTGCAAAAAAATGCAACAAAGAAACCTCACTAACAATAAGAAATATTCTCTCATCAGGCTGGCCTTCAGTTCAAACTAACTTACTGGTAATTTGAGCAAGGTTATCATTCTGTATAAAGCGAGAATGCTCCAAGTATCCCGCACAGAGCAACCCTTCAGCTCATCAAAAATGATAAGAAGCCTCCCAAGCACAGCGCGTCCCCCTCTGATACAACCCCCTAGCCCATCCCCTATATTACCTATAATCTTCACAAATTTCCCCATGTCACTGTTCCGCAGTGCTCTCAGAAAATTCCTCCACATTTCTCCGAAAAATTGGAGTTGGGAGCATATAGAAGCACTAGGAACAAGAAAAATCCAGAAAAAACAACAACTGAAAAGCACTTTTCTGGAAGACATGTACGACCCTCCTTCCATTGACCCAATATGACCTCCTCGGTGGGGATCCCCAATGTGCGAGACGAGCTCTGCTCTCAACCCTTGGTTTTCCTATACGATCGTAACGAAGTGTGACTGCCCCAGTAGACTTCCATACTTGTAGGTCTCATTTTTTTGCAAATGAGGCCGAATTTGTGACGACCTGCGTAAACAAAAGCGACAACATGGAGTGAACCACGACAGTTGAAAGCCAAAGCCGATAGTTTGAAAATTGGTAGAAATCCCTTTAGATGCTCGGATAAAAATGTGCACTGTTAAATTTATTTCCCAGAAGTTCGTGTCGAAATTTCGTTAGAATTGGTGTATTGATTGGTGCACCAATAATTTTGCTCTATCTGGCATATTTGAACAGACAGCTTACCTGCCCTTACATGGCAATGTAATTGATGGCACAGTGAAAGCCGATAAACAGAGAGAGAGGGTTCGTAGTTGAAAACACCAAACGAGATTTTGCTTGATAACGGCACTCGGGACGCTAAATAGAGGGTTATAGGACCTTTTCGATTTTTTGCCATGATCCTGACGCGAAAGCAAATACTACAGCGGCCATGGTTCTGGCGCGAAACGCGGGAGCAGTTAACTAAGATATGAACGGTGTTAAATAATAAGCCTATGAACGCAGAAGGGATCGGCACATTCACGAGTCATAGGGTGAGTGAACTACTCGTTGAAAGTGGACGTGCAAGTTGGTACGGGGTCACGGTAACCAACTATCTAGACAAGAGAGCGCTGACGAGAGCAGAAAAATGACGCGGATTTGAGACCATATGTAGTTCACGTTATCGGCAGGTCGAGATGAAATGGACCTTCAGAGAGGCCCTAAAGTTGTGTGGGGTGGAGAGGGGGGGGGGGAGGGGGAATAGCGAGTGGCAGAGATAGAAAGGAGCGGTCAAGGTCCCTCCCTCCCTGCCCCAACTAGGTTAGCGGCCGAACAACATCACACTTACAAGGTATGGTAGGGCCTTTTGAGCTGCATCTTGACACCCCCACCCTATTTACCGTAGGGTACGCAGCCGGAGTAATTACCCTTGTCCCTTGGGCTTTTCATATAGTCATTCCTCGTTGAGCAACCGGGCAAATACAGAGAATCCCGTTACCAGCATAAATCTTCTTTGCACCATTTTGTAGGAGAATTTAGCTATTGTGACAAAACAACAAATAAATAAATAAGTAAATAAACAAATAAATGCACTTCTCATCCCGGAAATGGGTAGGGGCGTGGCTGCTAACATCATTCGAACAAAGCCGGAAATGGGTAGGGCGTGACTGCTAACTTCATTCAAACAAAGCGTGGAATCGCAATTAGAGGTCCTGTCCTCTGCTTGGAAAAAAAACATACAGTCCTCATTATTGCGGACTGTCGGAGGGCGACTGTGCAACGCGGTCCAAATGGGCGTTCGCCCTCGTTGCTCTACCAATGACGATCGGGTAACGACCGATTTAAGGAGGGAGCAACCAATGATGGAAATGCCGCAGGTGCAAGCCGCTGATTGCGACCTAACAATTGCGGTGATGTAATGTATAACTACAACTGTTTCCAAATAGCAGTGCCCCACAAAAAGTGCAGCGGTTACCATGTTTGAATGAAGTAAGCAGCCACGCCCTCTTCACATTCGGGATAAGGTACATACATCCAGGCTTCCCCTATGAACTCAAAATGAAATCTGACCGGAAACTCAGAAATTTAGTTACTATAATACCACGGGAAATTCTTGATTGAACCCTTTTGAGTCTTAATAAGCAATTGTGAAGTAGAACAGCAAACTATTTACTTCGTAGGGTTTCGAAACGAAACAAACAACGACGACCAACAAACGTTACTTTGGCTATTTGCTGTATATAACCTCTCTATTCTAGACACCTTAACAATCGACATACATTAAAAATGACAATATTGTTATGATCTACAAATCTATCGATCCACTTCACCAAACACAATATCTAATGTACCAATCACAGCTACCACGTCAGCGATCAGTGCCATGTAACAAATATCGTGAATAGCGGCCAAATGAGCGAATCCAGGTGCACGAATGTAACACCTTTAAAAGAAAGTTTTTACTTACCATAAAGTAACATGTTGCAGAGCTCATATGAGGCAAAATTATTACCTGTACGGCTTGCTTGTTCCATCGGCAACAAGATATACTCCAAATTCTCCTTTGGGTGCCTCAATAGGCACATAGGTAGCTCCTGGTGGAACTTGATATCCTTCCGTAAAGAATTTGAAATGGTGAATCAGAGATTCCATAGAGTCCTGTTATTAATAAATAATAACTAGTATAAAGATTATATGAACAAAGAAAAGCGGAAGGCCGTTACCTTCATTTCAGCTCGCCTTGGTGGGACTATTTTATGATCATCTACTCTAGTTTCGCCTGTAGGCATTTTGTTCAAACACTGATGAATGATGTGAAGCGACTGCCGCATCTCTTCTACTCGGCACAAATACCTGTAACTCGATTATAACCATACATCTTACAACAGTAAATCACAAGTTTATGAAAATGTACGGGATACAGTACCCCAAATCGCGCGTAAAACTGGGTGCATAGAAGCAGCAAATGCAGACAACACCACTAAGTTTTCGCCTAGGCAGCCCCAGGCCAAGAGGAAAGGTGTCGCACTCGCTTCCTGGCATATAACTCGATTATAACCATAAATCTACAACAGTAAATCACAATTTTATGAAAACGGAAGGGATACAGTACCCCAAATCGCGCGTAAAACTGAGTACATAGAAGCAGCAAATGCACACAACACCACTAAGTTTTCGCCTAGGAAGCCCCAGGTCAGAAGAAAGCGGAATCAGCGTCGCACTTGCTTCCTGGCTTCATCCCATGGTTACTCGGCTCTTGTCAACCTAACATGCTCACGCTGCTAGGGTCCAGAGCTATTTTGTCAAGCAGCTGAAGAGAAAGGGCGAATGAGGGGTGAACAGAGGAGGCAGGAAAAAGGAAAGAGGAAGTCCCGCGGTTGACGAGACTATCAGCTTCTGTGCATTCGCAAGTCAATACATCTAATTTTTCACGCATGTTTCCTTAACTTATAATCTAGCTCTTACAACATTTAATAACAAACCTGTCATAACAATCACCCTTCGTGCCAACAGGTACGTCAAACTCTAGTTGATCATACACCTCATACGGTTGCGTTTTACGAACATCCTGTTTAATACCAGACCCTCGTACCATCACTCCAGTGAAACCCCAGTTCAATGCATCTGCGGCAGATACGATTCCTAAAGAAATACTGATTCACACTCCGCGTAGGAACTTCACCAAGACGGAGGGGCTTACCAATATCGACAGTTCTTGCTTTCCAAATCCTATTTTCCGTCAACATGTCTTCCATTTCATCTATTCTCTCGGGGAACTGTAAATTAGGAAATTGTTAGCGAGTAGTTGAAAAGTTTGGCAAATTCTGTTAAACCGCATAACTTCTCAGAGTTCTCAGAACTCTTAAAATTGTGCTGTCCCGGAGCTTCACTGCAATCTGAAGTGAAACACATAAAAGGGGCGCCAAAAATTTTATTGCAAATAACTCAAAAGATTCCAAAGAATCCAAATGTTCTTGCAAAAATTTTTTTATTGTTTCTAATACTTCCTTCGAATATTTCGGTGCTTAGCACCTTCTTTAGCGACCTGGTCTGCTGCCTCCATTCTCCGCCAATATGCCGCTGCTGCTCCTTGCGAAAGCCGCGCCCTCCAGTGCTCGCAAAGAGCAGCGGCGGCATACTGGCGGATATTGGAGGCAGCAGACCAGATCGCTGAAGAAGGTGCTAAGCACCGGAATATTCGAAGGATATTAGAGAGATAAAAAACTTGTGCGAGAGCTTTTAGATTCTTTTGAATCTTTTGAGTTTTTTGCAATTTTAGTTTTTTTGCTTTTATGTGTTTCACATTGTTTTCAGAACATGCAAGTTCAAGAGCTACAGATATTTGAAAAATCCTTATGCCAGAAGTTGAAAGCAGCCGTGAGAATTTCGCTCCCACCGTTAGATAGGACGGCTACTTTATCGTCCCAAGACGCAGGAAGTATAGTGGGCAACCACCACACTGACTACGCTAGTAAAAGGAAGAAGTTCTACGGCCTTTTTGGATACGCCATTGCTATGATACACATTCTGACCTATCTGATACACTGCATTGCATCTCTTCCTTACTAAGAGGCCCAACTAGTTGATTTCACATTCTCCAAGAACTTGTTGTAGTGAGAGATAATAGTGAACATAATCTACATCTTGTCCCTTGATAAAATGGCATCTTTTAAAATTTAGATTATTCCCGGATATTGGTGCCTTGTGACTTAACTAGTATAAGCCGACGACACCCTAAAGCTGACAGAGCACTTCGTGAATTGGCCTTGCCAAGAGTTATAAGAAAAAAGTTACCTTTAGGTCCGATCTTTAAATGTATCCATAAGATCCTGATTTGGTTAAATCCCCATGCCACACCTCCAGGACGGAAGTGGGTGTGGGAGGTGCGTTCGTGATGCTCGGCATGCGCGACGGCTCGAAAACTTCGAATTATCTTACTCTTCGTTGCTGAAAGGTAGTTTTCATTCACAAGAGGGGCGAGAAAAAGATATTGAAGAGAGGTGAGTGATAGAGACTCCAAGACCTGTTTCAGTGTGAGAAACGAAATTAAGCAAGAAAAAAGTGGTGTAAATTACGAATAGCGATGTGTGTGGAATGAGCAAATCATGGAAGACGGGGTCATCGGGCACAAATTTAAGCGGGTGACGTGGGTGGAGGGCCTAAATGGGCCGGGATGTGTAGTCCTCTAGCAGAGGACTCCTACACTATGGACGTGGGCAACATATCAACGCGTCGTTCAATCGTTTGGGCCATTGCCTTAAAAATTGCTAT